ATTGACATAGTTATCAATAGAACGTGGGTGTTTCAGTTCTATTGATTTTTCATGGATTCCGTGGAGTTAAGTATGCCCGTAAGCAGGTTTCGAGACGCCACCGGGTCCAAAGCGGGTTGTTCATACGACAACCCACTCGACACTCGATGCGCGCTCAAATTCGAAGTATTTCAATGTTTTTTATAATTTATCACTTCACTGCGCTTTATAACACAAAATAACACCAAATTTGTACACTAAAGTCCATTAAATAATAAATTGAAACCATTAAAACAGATCGACCATGCTTCCCGTTCAACTACCCTCCACGGAATCAGTATTAGTGTTATTTACTTACCAGTTCTAAAAGTCATATCCTCTCCATCGAAGAGCAGCATTCTCTCAACCAGTAGCTTTTCGTGAGTCTGCCCCACTATCAATTTTATGGCTTCCAATGCTTGTAGACATCCTGTTAGGGAAACAAATAATTATTTATAGCTGGACAACACTTTAGTGTCCCGGTTATGACATTGACAGGAGGGCACTACTATTTATTTTTAACTATTATATTATTATTATTTTAATTAAATTGAATACGGGCGTTATTAACTTACATTTTTGCCACGATGGACACAACACTGAAAATGTCCTTTAAAATTTTGACATTGACAGGAGGGCGCTACTATCAATACTACTGGGTTTCCATTATTAATTCAACTATTAGTTCAATAATTTTGCCCCTTGATGTTTCAGTATCGTTGGACGTTAATTTATTCTTCATTGCAATAGTTTTTAAGAATATTTGAAGTAATTTGTATTGTATTACTAAGTTACCCGTTAGCCCCTCGTGGTAAGCTAAATATGCTTGTGTTGCAAGTGGGTTCACCACAATTGTCCAACCGCGGCGGGAATCGAACCCACGTTCCTCGGATCTCGAGTCGGCCAAATTACTGATATTTTATTTAAAAAAATACAAAAGTTAAATTAAAAAACCCTGGTGAAACTGAAATCGCTATCATCCTTTTAAAATAAGATTTCTCATGATACTCCAACTAAAGGCTGATTTACACGTATTAAGTAGTTAAGTAGGTAACTAAATTTTAACTTAATTATAAGTGATTAATTGCATTTTGTCAAGTAGACAAGTTAAAATTTAGTTACCTACTTTACATTTATTTATTTATTTAATGAGCAACATAATAAGCTTACAGAAAACCCAAAGCGCTTACATGTTTAGTCACCACATCGATTACAATAAATTACACAAATTATTAAATTAAATTAAAATTAAATTCTGTTTAAACAGAATTAATTAATTAACAAATTCTTTAAATTAATTACTTAACTACTTAATACGTGTAAATCAGCCTTAAGAGACACCCTGTATTATTGAAACTGACTTACCTATGGCTCCAGGGACAGGCCCTGCCACTCCGTTGGCCGAGCAACTGCCAACCGTTTCGGGCGGCGGCGGAGTAGGGAACACGCAGCGGTAGCACGGACCTATGTACGATTGGTCCTGAAACATCATCGGGTTTACAAACTTTTGTCGATGTATTTTAAATACATACATCTATACTTATAATAAATCTGTAGAGAGGTCAATTCTGTACATGAAATATATTTTCAAAATAACTATCAGGGGGTGATTAGTGATCGATACTGATGCCAAAAATGCAATCAGTAAAATTTTTGTCTGTCTGTCTGTATGTTCCTTATAGAAACAAAAACACTTAGGAATTCCCACGGAAACGGGAATTAGCGGGAAAATCCTTTTGTATGAAAAATCTAAACCGCTTAAGTTAGGCGCTTGAAATTTGGCAAGCAGGTACCTTAGTAAACTTAAAGCTTAGTTACAACAGGATATTGCAAAATTCCCACGGGAACGGGAGTTAGCGGGAAAAAACATTTGTATGAAAAAATCTAAACCGCGTAAGATAGATGAACGGGATCCACGCGTACGAAGTCGCGGGCGGCCGCTAGTTTTAAATAAACAACTTGAAAAAATCGAACTGCCTAAGGCGGGACTCGAACCCACGACCTTTCGCTTGCCGGGCGACTACTCTTCCGTTCTCTTCAGTTCCAACTGAGCTACTTAGACACTTTTTTTTATGCATAACAAGGCAGTTATTTGACCACAATCGCACCTGATGTTAAGTGGGATGCAGTCTAGGATGAAATGATGAACCCGTCGAAATTTTCAAGTGTAATACCACGTAATACGCTGTAATTTCTTCAAGTTGTTTATTTAAAATTTATTTTGAGAAACTTAACCTCTAAGAATTTTTTATAACAACGCCATACATTTGTCGTCTATAATAATAAGATAGATTTTTTATTATCTGTCTGAACATGCACAAATGCTAATTTTGACATAAGGGGCCATCCATAAAGTACGTCACACGAATTTCATGATTTTTTGACCCCCCCTCCGTCCTTGTCACAGGTGGTCACATTTCTGAGACCCCCCCCTCCCTAGTGTGACGTCACATGTTTTGCAATTTCACATCGAAAAATTATTAAATTAACAGCAGTTCCGAAATTAGTTTTATTTTAATTTAAATTAAGTACTTTTTTTTTAATGAAATCAACATTATATCAAATATTTGAAACAATTGAAATGTGATGTCACAAAACTTAGGACCCCTCCCACCCCTTGTCACACCATGTCACACTTTGTCAACCCCCTCCCCCCCTCTTTACGTGTGACGTACTTTATGGATGACCCCTTTCTAAAGATGCCTTTTTTTCTCAAGTTTTCAATTTTCCTTTTTTCTTAAGTCTTACCATACCATCATCAACCAGACAGTGTTGACAGTTCTAACTCCTTGCCAGACAATCTTTTTAGGGTATCTGCTAAAGCCATGCTGACTTCATGATGCACCAATATTCTTACCTATATTGGGAGCATACAATGGAGCAAACTTTCAGCTTTTATAAAATTACGTAGGTCTGGCATTCACTAGCTCTTAGTCTATTCCTTGGGGAGGTATAATCAGTAATTTACACAAAAACTTTATTGCACAGATGTTGATTTCAATTTAAGCATCAATTTGGTAAAATTATGTGGTAAGAGTAGTGTAATTATGTGTTTTATGCAAGGTGTCCCAAAAAGGGCTATCCAAATCACCCCCATGTATGTTCTGCAATTTTTGATAGTTTTCAAGTTATGATTGTTTTAAATTTCTGTGCTTAGGCACTTTTTTGGTCATTGTGGCGCGAATAGTCAAGTCACATGCCTGATTTTATTATTAGATGAATACTAGGCCTAGCTGATTCAGAAGTATTTATGTTACAGTCAAAACTCATAAACGGTCAAAACCACTTTTGACTGGAAAAATCAGTGAAAAGTGGTTTTGACCAAGGGCGTTAGTCAAAACCACTTTTGATTAATTTTTGCAGGCAAATGTGGTTTTGACCGATTATGAGTTTTGACTGCAACATTTACATCCATAACACGAATGACACGAATGTAAACTAAAATCCTGTATGTTGTAAAAAAAACATAACTCGAAAACTATCAAAAGTTGCGGCGATTAGTGATGTTCTACCTCTGGACTTCAGCTTGATACTACTTTTTGGGACACCCTGTATAACTAGTGGATGTACACTAGAAGTAGGTACCATACAAATAATTTTATTTATAACTAGCTTTCCGCCCGGGGTTTTCCCGGAAATAATTCGAATTTTTCTCGCTGTAAAAACCATCCTTGGACTTCAACATTAATAAAAAAAGAATTGCTAAAAGTGGTCCAGGCATTGTTGAGTTATGCGCTTACCAACACATTTTGCGATTTATTTTTATATTATAGATAGACCTACCTAAGTTACAGTTCTAATGTTCTACTAATTTGGTTTTCCTCTAAATCTATACTAATATTATAAAGAGGTAAAGTTTGTGTGTTTGTATATTTGTTAAATTGTAGTAGTAGTGTAAATAGTAATTTTTCTTCAACTAACTGTAACTGTACAAAATTATGCACAAGAGACCCAGATACTTTCTTTCTAGTATGACGCCGCGGATTTTCGGATACGAATATATCAATATTCGCCAGGACAGTCAAATAAGATCCAACTGCATTGGCNCCGTGGGAATTTTGCAATATCCTGTTGTAACTAAGCTTCAAGTTTACTAAGGTACCTGCATGCCAAATTTCAAGCGTCTAACTTAAGCGGTTTAGATTTTTCTTACAAATGTTTTTTCCCGCTAACTCCCGTTCCCGTGGGAATTTTGCAATATCCTGTTGTAACTAAGCTTTAAGTTTACTAAGGTACCTGCATGTCGAATTTCAAGCGTCTAACTTAAGCGGTTCAGATTTTTCATACAAAACGATTTTCCCGCTAATTCCCATTCCCGTGGGAATTCCTAAGTATCCTATAACCTGCCCAGGAGTATGAAGAATAATTGTACCAAGTTTCGTTAAAATCCGTCCAGTAGTTTTTGTTTCTATAAGGAACATACAGACAGACAGACAGACAGACAGACAGACAAAAATTTTACTGATTGCTCTTTTGGCATCAGTATCGATCACTAATCACCCCCTGATAGTTATTTTGAAAATATATTTAATGTACAGAATTGACCTCTCTACAGATTTATTATAAGTATAGATAAATTGAATTTAGTGTAACTTGATTTTTTTCTCAGTTTTATATTAACTTCAAGCAGATATAAGAATTTTACTGTTGCATTCCCTTAGTAAATAAAGTAAACTAGATAAAATACTTTATTTAAGTGTGTTACCTTTTCGTTAGAGTTCTTCAAAGCTCTGTATCCGTATACTGTTAGTTGTCCTTCCATTTTGAGAGCGCTCCCTGATATTAATGGCAGCTGAAAATATTAAAAACGTTACTTAGAATTAATTTATTTAATAACTATGTAACTTCTACTTATAATATTAAAGGTGACTGAGTTTCTTCCGCCACTTCTTCTCAACACCAGCTCATTATGTTGTCCTGAAGTGGTGATAGGGCAAGCTATATTTGGGACGTATACAAGGTGGAAACGATAGGTGATCTCACTTGATTATTTCTAAACTATACAAGACATCGAAAAACTGATTACTGATCCTAAGAGTGCTTCACAAGCTCTATCCAAGGACTAGCGGCCACCCGCGACTTCGTACGCGTAGATCTCGTTTTACCTCCTTAGGGGTGGAGTTTCGTAAAATGCTTTCTTAGCGGATGCCTACGCCATAACATCTACATGCATACCAAATTTCAGCCCGATCCGTCCAGCGGTGTTTGGGCTGTGCGTTGATCAGTCAGTCAGTCAGTCACCTTTGAGTTATATTTAGATTTAGATAGAAGAAGATATCAATAATAGGATACAGAATAAACTGGATCTATCTGAAAATTCAATGTGTCCAGCTCCCATACATTTAGTAAAGCCACACAATATTAGAAACTAAACAAAATATCTAAAAACTGGTTCTTTCTACATGAATAAACTATCTTTCGCCCGCGGCTTCACCCGCGTGACATTTAGTTTGTCACAGATCGTCATAAATAAAGCCTATATGTTATTCTGGGTTATAAACAATAATACCATAAAGTTTTACCAAAATCCGGTCAGTAGTTTTTGCGTAAAAGAGTAACAAACATCCAGACATCAAACCTGCCGCACAATTTATAAACGCAGTAAGNATAATTTTAAATACAAAATATTAATTAAAATACGAAAACCTCATATCAAAATAAACTTTGAGTTTAGCTCTATAAGCCCATATATTTTTTTTTACAAATATTTGCGTAACTAATTGTAGACACCCCAAAATAAAATTTCAACTTTGATCGCGTTTTTCTCGAAACTGTTCACGTGTTACTTACTGCGTTTATAAATTGTGCGGCAGAAACTTTCGCTTATAATATTAGTAGGATAACTAACATACCTTGGTAATAGCACAAGCATCGTTCAACAAATATCTTGTAGGCACGTTGTCAGTACAGTCAAGCACGACGTCGTATCGCGACGCGATATCCAGAGCGTTCGTCGAGTCCAACTGTACATTGTACGGCTGCACCTTTATGTGTGAGTTGATGCTGTTGGAATAAAATGTTTTAAACAGAATAGAATAGAATAGAAAGTATATTTATTTGTCTCAAAACAGGTTTCATTTACAGTTTTTCACAGATACAAAAATCATAAGAGACAAAAAGGTTTATGACTCAGTGATTGCAGGAGACCCACAAACCCTGTTATTCTGCCATAGCCAAGATATACATAAGTAAATAAATATTTCAAATTGAGATTTATTTATTGCACTAGTTGTTACTGGAGTAATTATTTATTCAATAAACAATTTTATAATACTAGCGGCCGCCCGCGACTTCGTACGCGTGGATCCCGTTTTACCCCCTTAGGGGTGGAGTTTCGTAAAATCCTTTCTTAGCGGATGCCTACGTCATAACATCTACTGCACGCCAAATTTCAGCCCGATCCGTCCAGTGGTTTGGGCTGTGCGTTGATAGATCACTATGTCAGTCAGTCAGTCACCTTTGAGTTATATAAATTTAGATTTACATAAACTTAAAATTACTTAATAACTAAAATGATTACTTGTTATACAACGTATCGCCTTTCGCGCGCTGTCATACGCGAGGCGAGACGTTTACGTTACGTTGCGGATAAGTGTGCGTTGCAGTATGGAGTTTCGTACAAATAATACTGACCACCTCAAGTTGATACGGTTACGATCCTTTTCTGAATTGATATTGATACGAGTAGGCGCACACCGTTGATTTTTAGTTGGCCGATAGTTGTGCCCGATTTCAAATTGTATGAAGAATCGGCCAAATCGAATCGGCGTAGTGTGCGCACTCCCATACATGCCCACACTGATCAACTGCCCGACTAAACTATCGGCCGACGAAAACGACAACGGCGTGCGCCTACTCTAAAGGTCACTGACTCACTTGTCACGAAATCTCAGAAACTACAAGTGCTATGAGTCTCAAATTTTGCATGGGGGTTCCTTTTAGAACGTATGCTCACTAAGACGGGATTTTGCAAAATTCTGCCCCTAAGGGGGTAAAATGGGATCCACGCGTACCAAGTCGCGGGCGGCTCACGGTGGATCGAAATGGCATTAAAGTGGACATAGGGATTTTTTCCGGAAAATCGAATTTTAAAAATTGCCAATCGATAGTCCTTTGCTCACTCATCACGACATGTCATATCACATTTTTCTCTAAACCTGATACTTTAGCTTAAAAAAAAAAATTGTGTTTTTTTTGTATGAAACGAGACATAAAATGCTAATTTTCTCCGAAGACCTGCTAGATCGTGACTTGAAACAACCTAGGTCGGTATAACTGCATTATTTATTAATATTCTAAGCTATTTTCAGCTGCTCCAAACCGCAACTTAGCCTGTTAAACGATTCCGAAAAAAATTAAAATTGACTGTTCTTGTAATTGTATTTTAGTTCTTTTTTTTAGAAAAAGCTTCGATTACGGTACTAGAAAGTGATTTTATCGTTAGGTGATATTGTTATCTATTCTCAGAATCTGTTAAACCCTTTCTTTCCTATCAGCACATGACTTTAAAACAACAATGAAGTTACTCATACTTCGTAAATAACGTGTTTTGCGAATAAGCAGATAATGGTCAGGGGTGGGGGTAAAAAACAGATAAGGATTGTTTATTTGTTTTAAATTTAGTTTGGGCTGTGTAACGTCACCAATAACATTCAACTTTAAATGCGGTTTTTAACATGTAATTACAATGGAAGCTATTGTGAATAATATAGATTTGTTCGTAGTCTTAAGAAATACCTTAAAACCTTTGATGGACAGTGAGGAACTTTATAATCACCTTTAGCAGAAAATGGTACATTTGTCAGAAGAAAACAGTGTTAAGAGCGTTTACGCCGTTTGGCGCAAAAACAGTACTTTTTCAACCCGTTACAATCATTAACCAGTTACCCATAAATAATTAGGCAATTTCGTCGTCTAAATAGTTAGTTGAGATAATATTTCGATTAGTATAGTATTTAAGAATTCTATCAAGTCCTCACAGGTTTTCAAATTTCTACTTTAGCGTCAGTTTACAAGCTGAATTTTTGTTATATCGTTGTTATATCGTTGTTGTGTGTTTATAAAAATACTGTGAAAACGATATAACAAACATTTATATCCTAATAGCTTTCCGCCCGCGGCTTCGCCCGCGTGGAATTTTGTCTGTCACAGAAAAATTTTATCGCGCGCGTCCCTGTTTCAAAAACCGGGATAAAAACTATCCTATGTTCTTTCCCGGGACTCAAACTATCTCTATGCCAAATTTCATCAAAATCGGTTGCGAGGTTTAAGCGGGAAAGCGTAACAGACAGACAGACAGACAGACAGACAGACAGACAGACAGACAGACAGAGTTACTTTCGCATTTATAATATTAGTTGGGATAGCATAGGTCCTTAGGCAAATAGTTAGTTGAGAAAATTCTTAGATTTAAGCATTTTACAATAAGAAATAAGACATTTTACATTTCACAAATTCAAAGAACGTGAAATACCCAAAAATCAAAGTGATTTTTACACCATTATTCTTCTTGATGATGGACAAACTGTCATCTATCTCTTCCCCAATTTTTAAGAAGAAACAGTGATTGGCTTGAATCTCCAATTAACTGGGTCTGGCAAGTAGTTTTTGATGAAGACAAAATTTACACAGTTTTCTTCTGACAAATGTACCATTTTCTGCTAAAGGTGATTATAAAGTTCCTCACTGTCCATCAAAGGTTTTAAGGTATTTCTTAAGACTACGAACAAATCTATATTATTCACAATAGCTTCCATTGTAATTACATGTTAAAAACCGCATTTAAAGTTGAATGTTATTGGTGACGTTACACAGCCCAAACTAAATTTAAAACAAATAAACAATCCTTATCTGTTTTTTACCCCCACCCCTGACCATTATCTGCTTATTCGCAAAACACGTTATTTACGAAGTATGAGTAACTTCATTGTTGTTTTAAAGTCATGTGCTGATAGGAAAGAAAGGGTTTAACAGATTCTGAGAATAGATAACAATGTCACCTAACGATAAAATCACTTTCTAGTACCGTAATCGAAGCTTTTTCTAAAAAAAAGAACTAAAATACAATTACAAGAAGAGTCAATTTTATTTTTTTTCGGAATCGTTTAACAGGCTAAGTTGCGGTTTGGAGCAGCTGGAAATAGCTTAGAATATTAATAAATAATGCAGTTACCTAGGTTGTTTCAAGTCACGATCTAGCAGGTCTTCGGAGAAAATTAGCATTTTATGTCTCGTTTCATACAAAAAAAACACAAATTATTTTTTTTAAGCTAAAGTATCAGGTTTAGAGAAAAATGTGATATGACATGTCGTGATGAGTGAGCAAAGGACTATCGATTGGCAATTTTCAAAATTCGATTTTCCGGAAAAAATCCCTATGTCCACTTTAATGCCATTTCGATCCACCGTGCGGCTGCTAGTGATAAGGGCTACCTTTTCTTTTTATTGTTTGCTATATTTGACGTTCATAAGTGCCACTTGTGGTATAAACTGAATAAATATTTTTTGATTTTGATTTTGATAAATAAATGTCAATACCTTCTCAAGCTTTTAGTAGCCGACACTGCCTTACTGTCGTTTTGATCAGCCTCAGTGTGAAGAATCTGTCGATGAATGTTTGTGAGGTCCACCTTATCGTAGTCTACAATGCCGATCTGACCTGCAAAGGGTAATAAATCAATAATTATTTTAAACTAGCTTTTGGCCGCGGCTTCACCCGCGTGAAGTTTCGTTTGTCACACATCGTCATAAATTATAGCCTATATGTTATTCTGGGTTATAAACTATAATACTGTTAAGTTTCATCAAAATCCGTTCAGTAGTTTTTGCGTGAAAATCCAGACATCCAAACTTTCGCATTTACAATATTAAACCCCGGTCCGTGAGAACGTAGAATTTTGTCCAATGACCCCTAGCTACCCATCCTTATCGCTCGCGCGTAATTATATTGCTGTCGCGACTGTGCGACGGGCACCCGCAGTGAGTGTGCGAGCGCGATAGCAACATAATTACGCGTGAGCGATAAGGATGGGTAGCTAGGGGTCATTGGACAAAATTCTACGTGCTCACGGACCAGACTATAGTAGGATAAAGAATACATACCTACACCTGCCCCAGCTAAGTACATAGCAGCAGGGCAGCCTAATCCTCCTGCACCGACGACCAAAACCTTAGCAGCGCACAGCTTTTCTTGCCCCGTTACACCAATATCTGGTAGTAGGATCTGTCTGCTATACCTTTATAAAAGGAAAGAAAAAAAACTTTATTTGGAAATAAAAAGAGAGATAAAAAAATGTGTTGCCAAAAAGGTCACCCACTCAGTATCATCTTTGGCTTTCGCTGACATTCAAAAGTTGTCTCATTGGAAAACAGTTCTAAATCCATATTCACAAAGGTCATTTTCGATAGAACGATTACTCAATAGGATCGCAACTCAGCGATTTGTTGTCAAAACATTAAGAATACCTGTTTAAATGAAGTGTGAGCCAGGTTTTTTAAAAATACTGAGTTTAAGTTACATCTCTCAAAAATGCAAAACTTTAATAACTATAGGTATTCATATACTAACTAAAATAAATAGTCCTTAAAGTAATAATGTGAGCAGTTGACTGACCTGTAAAAATTCAAAACATAAATATTGCAAAAAAAAACTTCTTACCTCACTATATCTAATTTAGTAAGTTTGTCACCCATGTTTGTTTTAAAAACATTATTAGCATTGGATTGCGGGTTTAGGTTGAAGGCTTCAGTATTCGTTTGTTGCTGTAAATGTAAAGTTGAAACATTTTACTCATGTAAAAGTACCTACTTAAAAACATTATAAATTAGTGACCACTTACCAATGTATATTCCTTCCTTAATTCGTACAGTTCGTTCTCCTTTTCTTGCAAAGTTCTTCGTAAATTAGCAATTTCATTTTCTAAACTTGTAATTCTATCCATTTTTATAGCGAAAATTGCTAAAAAACTTACTGAAAAAGCCTAAATACACACCCGAGCTACACCACACAATGTGACATTTTGTTGAATGTGGTGTGTTCCATTGAGATCAAGTTTTTTATGGGCCATTCACGTCGGAAAGGAATGTAAACAAACAGCAACTCGAGATGATTATTTCTTTGAATGTGAAGAAAATCCACTGTATTGGAACACGACGCAATGTTGTTGTAATATAGTTCCAAAATACTGGACTGTCCTGTCGATGACATTGACAGTGGGGCGCCACCGTCAATACCGGATCGCTGGTTCAGATTTTTGCCATGTTGGAAACCTTATAGTTGAACGATGGTAGCGCCCCCCTGTCATTGAGTTTGGCGGGACAGTTCAGCGTGGGTCATCTATACTTGTAATTTGACGTTACTAGTGATGTATGTACATGATAGAACTATCAATTGAAAACTTAATATCAGTTAATGTTCAATTTTAGTGTTATTGATGAAATAATTTGACCTGTAGGCACCATAAATAGGGAGTCAAGGTTTTGCGGCAAGCAGACTTAATAAAAAAAACTACTTTAAAACTTTCAATGATTTTAAATGAAAAATAATAAAGTACAGAAATTACAACTAAATGTTCAGCGATTGAACGTACTAGCCTAAGTTGCTTGGAAGTGGGAAGCCTGAAATATAATGTCCCATACCATCACCGCTGCTCCTTTAAAAATAGAGCTGATTATTGGCCCGGTGGCGTGAGGAATTGCCGGATGTTGATTTGAATATAATAAATCGTTTTTGCTGATCCAGCAGTTAAATTGTAATATATTTTACCTACTCTGAACTAATATTTTAGGTATTGTAATAATGCTTGATGGCATGTTGGATGACATAACTTAGGTACCGTGATATATTTTTTGTTGTTAGGATGCCCAATAACCGTAACAACTAACCTGTCTTACTACATGATAGTACCTAAATATATTCAAATTTTAATGTAAGTAGATGGTGAAAACAACAAGCAATGAAAATTAATATTAAATAAACACTAAAATAATTTTACGATTATTTTATTAAGATAGGTAGGTATACAAAAGTATTATAATTATCTTATAGCTAATTAAAATACCTACATTACATATTGCATAAGAATCAAAAACACGTTAACATAATAATATTATAATAGTAGATAAGTTGTAGTTTCTGACATTCACATAATCAAAAAGTAGTTGTGTAAAAGAAAACAAACGCACACAATACAACTTGCTGTTTCTTACATAAAATGTTTTGTTTATACTTAATTAGGTATATCATTAAAATGTCAATTAATACACTTATCACTACTAAGTTGCACTCGTTTTATTATAATAATTCACGAATATAAGCTATTTGGGGGATAAACCTCAACTAAACAGATATTATATTATATTTCTTCTCATTTAATAGATGATAGGTCCTAATAAATGTTTAAAATAATGTAACTCAAGCAAATAAGAATTTTTTTATGTTTAAATGTTAATAAATGCTCAAAAATATTAAATTTCAATTACAGTTTCAGTCTTATTTAATGTCAGTACAAGATAGGGTTTGGGATTTTCATGAGCAGACACGTTTTGAGTTGCATCTGATTCTCTCTAAACCCTTTAGGCCCAGAACAGACGGTGAAACGCAACTGCAACGAAACTGCAACTGCTAGTTACTTTTGAGTTGCATCTAAGTTTCTGCCATAGCGTCCGTTGAGAGACCACACATGACGCGACCAGTTTGAAACTTTCAGTTTCATTTTTAGTTTCATTCATCAGAATCATCACAAAGTTGCAGTTTCGTTGCAGTTGCGTTTCACCGTCTGTTCTGGGCATTAGTATCATACTTATATCACAAAATTTTATATAAAAAGTAGGTTAAGTTAAATTAAATAATGTGTTACATAATTGTAAAACAATAAACTAAATGCATTGAATAAAATATGTAAAATAGAATAGTGAATCAGTTCCGTCGAAAATTAATAAGATCATAATATTATATTATTAAAATTTAAAATAATAAGATCAAAATTATAAGCCCTATAAATGTAAAAAGGATAAACAAGTAACTACAGCATAATCTATGCTGTTATTTTACCAACATTTGCAGTGACAAAAGTACCTAGGTACAATACTTAGTCAATAATCCAATTAATTAAAACGATAGCTCACTAGAAGGAAGATATATCTACGACAGAACGACAGAACTAAATTACTAGAATAATCAGCTACTTTTAAAACATTATTTTTATAAATTCATTAAGAAGATTATCAATAAGTTTATAAAATAAATGGTGTTTAAGTAGGTATTAGAAACAACCAAAATATTGATTATAATTAAATTAAATATCGCCTTGAACAAGTTCAGATAGCTTCTGTCTGACTTTGAGCGATACCAGCCGCTCCTTATTGCAATCTTCCATTAAAACTGTTGGCTCCAATACCGGCATCGGCGCTTGATTTCCGTCTGCTGTATCGTTTACACTCTCAGGATGCAAAATCAAACGTTTTTTGACGTTACTTTTTGCTTCACGCTCTTGTTTTTGAATACTCAATTTGTTCAATAGCTGCGGAAGAGCAACACGTTTCTCGTCGACATCGGGGCCTTTGGTATACACTCGTTTTTTATATTCTTCAGTTGGTATACGATTCTTAGCGTAATCCTTATTGTCTTTAGTGACTGTTTCAATGGGCATTTTCATCATTTTACCTGGGTCCACATTTGATTTGATCAAAGCGTTAACGTCAGACACAAAAGGTTTGGATTTAGTGTTTTCGTCTTCGTCCTCTATGCCGTTTTCTTTTAGGAGTTTTCGGTATGCTCTGGCCCTCATTTTAAGGTATTGAAATAAAGTGTTGTAATGTCCATTCTTATCAGGGGTAAAAGTTGGTGCTGGATTACATGATTCTTCATTTGAGCATACTCCATTCCCACCATGGGAATGTGGTGGACAAGGGACTCTTGAGTTTTTAGAACTGTTATCATTATAATTTCTGGTCGGTGTCGTTTTCTTCCAAGACTCACTTTTGTTAAAATGACCGTTTCCAAAAGCTTCTACACGGGAATATGGAGGTTGTTTGAAATAATTTTCATTAAAATTTGTTGAAGGACCTTCATTTCGACGTGGGTTGTTTGGATAATATTTTAAATATTCTTGAGTTTTAGACGAATTCTGCTGCGATGAAAATGTACGTCGACTGTTTCTATTGTTTGATATTATCGGTGGGCTCAACACTCTTACATCTTTAAAGTCTTCTTTATTTTTGCGATTTGCTAATTTGTTCTTTTCCACCGATCTATCCAAAAGAACTTCGTCAATCAACTCTTCTTGGTATGTTTCAGTTTCTTGTTTGTGTTCTGTTTCATTGTCATTTGCAGTAACTGTCGATTGCTGTTGATTAATTTTATCGAAATGGGCAAAATCAAAATCCAATGAGTTGACTTTAGCTCGAACTATTTCAGGATGATTAATTATTTCAAATTGTTTAGCCGTTGGAGAATAACTTATTTTTTGAGAATGTTTGCCCGAATCAATCTTGTTCCCAGATTCTAGTTTACGTAAGAAATCTTCATAATCAACGTTTGTTTGTGTCGTACTTTTTTTGGAGACAAGTTCAGGGGAAACAAAAATATTTTGATATAAATCTATTATTGTAAAGCCTTCTTCTTCTTTTTCGATAAACCGGGGCCCGTCCGCTGGAGTTTTGAAATCGATCAGCAAGTTCTCACTCGAAGTACTTGAGGGGCTTGTAGGGACTTTTTTAGGTTCTAATATTTCGTACGCATTGAAGTTTTTTATTAAAGCTGGGGGAATACCGTTAATAACTTGACCTGTAGCTTCATTTAACACGGTGTCGCTCAGCTTTGACATTATGGGCATCTGAAATTTTAAAAAATTAAGTAAATGACTTGTCACATAGTTACGCCTTAAAATATTATCTTCAGGGATCAATTTTGCGTTATTGAAACAAATCGGTCGGTATTACCTACATATCTACCTACTCATTCAATCAACTAGATAAATTCAAACAAAAACATAATATTGCAGTTGCAATATTACCTATACGTCTCTCATAATATCTAACTGCAAATTTGAGTAAGTAATGCGTAAAATAAACCTAAAAAAATGACATCATTTTGCTTAATTCAAGTAGATTATAAGCAATCAATCAAGTTACCTAGTTAATGCTGATAAGGTATGCAGGAGCAATTAACCTGTTTATAATGTAATTAGTATTTAAGAATATTAATAATTTAGTGTGTTTTTATTTATTTCCGCATTTATGGTAGGTACCTATTTATGATAGTGAAACTTCGTCAAGATGCCTAATTTTTGAGACCCAAACAAAACACAGCAAGCAAAGATGGCGGAAGAATTTTATTTTACATGATGATGTATTTTGATTTGGATTAGGTAGTACTTACCTACTTATATTATCTACAACATTTTTATCTTATCGATTTTCACTTATGAGAATTGTTGTTGTACCTACACTAAAAAAAATTACACGCAGCAAGGGATACGCCTGAATACCATTTTGTATTTTCCCGCATTTCGTTTTCTTGAAAAAATACCATGACCAAACCTAGATTACTTTGGCATAGTAGGTACTTTTACACTATTATATTAATTAGGTTCTCTTGAACATAATAAGCGCAAACAAAATAATAGCTTAAAACAGTAATGACAAATGACTTTAGAAAAAAAGTTTCGTAGATAAGGAATGGAGATTATAGGACGCTTATAGCAAATTAAATCTGAACTAATACTTACACGTAAATTCTCCACAAAAATGCTAGCTTAACACATTTGATTACTTGCTTATTTATGTCAGAAAATCTTCTGAATTTGGTACTTAATGAGATATTATTCTTAAACAACGAGCTTGTACTACAAGCTTATCAATATCCCCGAAGGAATGATGCGTTTGTCAAAAGTGTTGATCGACTGTACAAAACAAAACGATGGGGATACCATCACAAAATTATTTTATTTACTTTAGCATCCCAATTCTAATTACTTTTAATTTCTATGAATTTTATTATTTTTATTCTGATAAGCATGCTCAGTTATTTAATTTACTACCTATTAAATCAACATATTAAAGTAATTGGTATATTCAATCATGTCATTGCTTTTTGTATTCTGAGTTTAATACAATAACAACATTAAAGTTAAATTAAATAACACGGATTTGTAAAATAATTTATTAATAATTGAAAAATAAAATTCATAAAACTGATATTTTTTTTTGTTTTAATTCTGTTGTTGAAAGTTAACCTACATTATTTTACTGTAGTTTTTGAATCGCGTTCTTATTCCTGACATTAATTTTACGACCAAGCGATTTTGTCAGTTGCTAGGTTTATTCACGTACAGTCAGCTTCCTGCAAGTTTACTTTGGACTTTAATGCGTAGACAGAAGTCACAAAACTGAAACACATCCTTTGGTCATTACAGTCACCATAATTAATTAAGTCTTTAGAGCTAGCCTATTTTGTCTCGGGGCTGTCCTGAAATAAAAGAAACAGTACCGCAAAATTTGGTGGTTTTTAATATTAAGTATGAACTGGAAGAGATCCCCGAATAAAAAGTTTTGGTAAAAGTTACAGTTTATGTACAGGGCCAGCAGGGTAGAAAATTAAGAGTTTTGTTTTTGAGTTGAAAACCAGTCGAAATACTGAAACTACTAATACTACTAATAATACAAATGTGATATTATCATTTTATTAATTTAATATTTACGTTTCTTCGTAGCGAGGAATATAAATTTCGTTTATTTTCTTATTAATAAAGCAATATCCATTTATACATAGCACAAACGATTATTCAATTGATAAATGGATTTTATGTCATTTTACATCACTATTCGCGTTTTGTTGCATCACTTGATGACTTAAATGATTAAAAGTGAAAACTATTTTACTACATTTATGAGATAATTTTTCACTAAAAATCAAAAATGTGTTTGTTAAATAATTTTCAAGCAATTTTAACTTTTGTACAGGTCATGGTTTGGCCTGAATTAGTTAAAATTGCAGAAAGTTTAATAATGCACATTTGTTATCTTTAAACAAAACGCTTTTAATGTCATTGAACTTTACATCGGAGCTTGCGATTTGCATTGCAATTGCAATAAATTTGTTTCGTTGTTTTAGAGTGAAAACACCAATTTTTGAACTAATTTCTCTTGGATAACCTTTTGATATAGTTTAATTGTTGTTTACCTTGTGCTTCATGCGATATTTCGTGTATATTAGCCTCTAAAATGAGGTCTAACATAACTACTCTTGCATTACCATTTCCAAAGATTTAAGGCATAAATTGGAATTTGTGTTGCAAAATAATGCGTGGAATTCATCATTTGAGTCTTAAAACTTGAAGGACTTAGCCAAGGTGAGTTAAATAAAGGCAAGATTGTAATAACCTATTTAATGTTTGTCATAATAGAACATCAAGACAACAAAAACATTGTAAAAACAATTCGCCGGCAAATAAAGTAGATAATGCACGTTGTTGTCGTATTTCTGACCCCTTAATCACAACTGATATAGTTACTACTGTAAGTTGTTTTGGTAAAAAGTCAGGTTCAATGTAAAACATTTAATCTATTTGTATATGTAGAAAACAAAGTGTCTGGACAAACCTCAAGAGGATTTAACTATTTCATCAAAGATGTAACGGTTAAATATGTAATGTAATAAATAAATGTGAAACCTCCTCTTGATTTAATAGACAAATGGTTACAGAGTATTTTGTGTGGTAAATCTACTTCAATAAATACATGAATGTGACTTCTTACAAGGAAGACCATGGTTGTGGCATTACTGGGATGCAACGACGCTATGCTGAGTGGCATACCTTTTCGATAACGCAATGGGTTTACAATGCGTTTTTAACTTTTATGGTCACTAACATACTTAATTATTATTACTGATGGGATTGCTACTATGACCACGGCGCTTGCAACAGTGCCGAAATATCGGCAACTCAAAATTAAGGTATAGTTCCAAAATACTGGACTGTCCTATCGATGACATTGACAGTGGGGCACCGATTTTTGCCATGTTGGAAACCATATAGTTGAACGATGGTAGCGCCCCCTGTCATTGAGTTTGGTGGGACCGTTCAGCGTGGGTCATCTATACATGGTATGGCAATCCCGTCAGTAATAATAATTGCGTTTTTAAAAAATTCAACAAATACTCAATCCTTACAGATGATGGAGACATGCTGTTCCCGCTTCACGGCGGCGGAAGGCGGCGCGCGCCTCGCCGCGGCAGCCAGCGAGAAAAACATCATGGCGGTGGAGTACTCATCCTTCATCGCCACTCGACTGGTGCATGAAGATGCTTACAAGATCCGAGGGTGAGTTCTGTGACTCATTATCATAATATATTTATTTAATGACTTGGCACTTTTGCCATAGATTGACACAACACAAATTGATTGTACAAAAGGGAAACTGAATGCTATGTGGCACTGAGTTTGCCATTATAGTCAGGTCATTTAGTCAACTGTAAAAAAGGGTGATTTAGATTCAATTTCATCATCAAGTCATTTAGTCTCCAGTGCACGAGCACAATTCTCTCTAATATATCAGTTGGCTATTTGCAATATCTGCGTAAGCAAGTATTATCTACACTAATATTATAAAGAGGAAAACTTTGTTTGTTTGGTTGTAATGAATAGGTTCAAAAACTACTGGACCGTTTTTAAAAATTCTTTCACCATTCGAAAGCTACATTATCCACGAGTAACATGGCTAAATTTTGTTTCGGAAAAAAATAGGGTTCCGTAAAATATGTTGATAATGTATTCCACGCGCGCAAAGCCGCGGGCGGAAAGCTAGTATTTAATAATTTTATTTTAGAAAGGTGATTGCAAATTTTTATGTATTTGTATTTTTAGAGACAGTTTTATTGTGTACACTGAAATTAATGTTCTTTGTTTAAAATAAGCCATAATTATGGTCATTCCTAGTCTAGGAATCCTAGAACTACATAATATATTCCTTACATGTTTTACTCAAGTGTAAAATGGAAATATACTGTTGGGTCCAATGTAACCTGCATTGTGAATTTGTATGAATGGTTGGTGAGATGTGGATCATGTGGAGTAATCGAATGAAATCACAAACCTAGACAATTTTAGATTTATAGATTACTTAATTGTTCTAATGGCATCGCGATTGTGACATATGTAGCATTACGTGTCCCATTTTAAATTTTCTTTCGCTTTCAATACGTATAGCGTTTAATGACCGCGTTAAAACAATTCCAGTCCGTTCTCCACCGGGCGACAGCGCTCGGTCTTCATCTGCCGCGCGTCGCGCGTGCCGTGTGTGGCGTACGAGCTGCAGATCATGACGGACTTGAAGATAGCTAAAGGAACCGATCCGGATGGCGTGGATTGGGCCGAGGAGATGGAAGAGAAAGAGGTAAGGTTATGGCTATTAAAATAAGGATGATTATTGTGTATAAAAGCAAACGTTTGATTTGAATTAACCCTTTTGAAAACGTATCCAAAAATACTTGACACGTATTTTTCGCTTTATCAAAATCAAATTATTAAGCGCGCCAAAGCTCAAAGGACAAATTGTGACGTCACTACGTTACAAAAAGTATAACACGGCGTGAGGTTACGTGAAACATCATCAACGCACTAATGCACCATAACATGTTTGACTGACAAATAAAAATATGTGCTGATAGTTTGGTTGGTTCCTAATTTGTTTGAGAATTTTCATACATTCTGATTAACAGCCCACCTAAAGTCTCACTTCTTCTTCTTCTTTGGTTTATGGCGATGAACTTGTAAAGTATTTTGAGTAGCCAAAAACGGTGCAAAATGATCAGAAGTAAAATAAAACCGTACTAGAGTGGCGATGTGACGTCACGGCTGCCAAGTGCGCAGTTCAGTCGACCGGGTTGTACTTCTATCCTACTAAAGTCCGGCCGAGCACGTAGAATTTCGTCCAATGACCCCAAGCTACCCATCCTTATCGCTCTCGCGTAATAGGGATGTTTCCTGGGTAAAAGAGCAAGAGTTTTAATTAGTCCGTTAGTTAGCTTATCAAAAACTACTCGACACGTATTTTTCACTTTTTAAAAGTAACGAAAATTTAAAGAGATAAAGCGTGCCAAAGTTCTAAAGAAAAGGCCCGTGATGTCAGTGAGTGCGTAAAAGTGCAGCACATTATGACGTCGCGCGGAACTTCAACGCACTATAACTTTGCAATGAGGGCTATCGTTTTAGCGCTCACCAGTTTGCGCCACTGTAGAGTAAGGTCCTGTCACTTGCTAGTAGCGAAGACAGTGGCACCAACTGGTGAGCGCTAAAGTGGTAGGAGGACTATCGCATTTGCACTCATCAAGATGGCGCCACTGTAGAGTAAGGTCCTGTCAATCGCCAGGGGTGCCAACTGTTAAGTATAAAAACGATAGCCCTCATTATTTGTTTGATTGACAATTAAAAATATATTTTTTTGTAATGAAATTGACGGAATAAAATTTTTTTTTAGTGAACTAGACTATTATATTGCTTAGTTATTTAATTTTTAGCGTTAAGAGTCGCATCTCAAACTAATTAGAAAATTATAAATAACTTGAAAAAATCGAACTGCCTTCCCGCCTTAGGCAGTTCGATTTTTTCAAGTTATTTATAATTTTCATATTATATTGCTGCTGCTTACATTGCTCGGCGACCGGACTTTGAATGTTTTTATTCAATCTTGCAGGTCCTGGTATGCACTTCAGAGGTGATGCGAAAGGTCCTCGAGGCTCAGACCGTCACCATGCCTCAAGTCAACGTGCTCATCGTAGACAGCTGCCATCTGGTGTCCAGCGATGAGAGCCTGCAGTTTGTGAGTATTCCATCTATTTATGTATATTATAACTAGCGGCCGCCTGCGACTTCGTACGCGTGGAACCCGTTTTACCCCCTTAGTGGTGGAGTATCGTAAAATCCTTCGGATGCCTACGTCATAAAATGCTGCATGCCAAATTTCAGCTCGATCCGTCGAGTGGTTTGGGGCTGTGCGTTGATAGATCACTGGACGCCCTCTCTTTAAACGGTGCTCGCAGAATATCAGCGTCGAGGTACTTCGTGCCTTGGCATATGCTGAGCGAGGACCTGTTTGGTACAATTTTATTTTTAGTTTTAAGTTTTAATTTGTAATTTTAATGTGTTGTGCCAAATAAACAATTTTTTATTTATTTTTTTTATTTTTATAATTCACTATGTCAGTCAGTCAGTCAGTCACCTTTGAGTTATACAGTGTGTTAGGTAAATGGGTATATGAGCCGACACTAGCCCATTTTAACATGGTCATATAAATAGTATGGTGAAGTCAGAAAATTGATATCATCATTTTAATTATTTTAATTTTCATATAAATCTGATTTTATAAATTTTATTTTGTATGAACATAAAAAAATTAAAATGATGATAACTCTGACTTCACCATACCATTTATATGCATATGTAAACATGGGCTAGTGTCGGCTTATATACCCATTTACCTAACACCCTGTATATTTAGATGTCGATATTCCACAAGATCGCACTGTGCGTTTGGCTAACTCTTAGGGACGTAGCACATTTATCAACCCGGAAAGGGTTCGTAACCGTATCAACTCGAGGCGGTCAGTATGCTTTGTATAAAACTCCGTACTGCACACTTATCCGCACCGTAACGTAAACGCCTCGCCTCGCGGTTGACAGCGCGCGAAAGGCGATACGGTGTTGATCCCTTTCCGAGTTGATAAGTCTGCTATGATCTTTATAATGCAAAAGCTGACCAGACTTCGCTGACTGCTGCTGTCTTTCCCAAACACTATAATCCGGGCCTCTTCAAGGCGAGAGTGAATAGGCACTTACAGGGCAGATATGTACCATCCTAGACTGCATCCCACTTAACACCAGGTGCGATTGCGGTAAAATACCTGGCTTTTTCTGCATTAAAAAAAACATATCTTTTTCTCGTCTGTCACTCAGTTAATGCCTGGACCAATTTTGACTACATTTTCACTGGCAAACTATTTATAAGTGTATCTATTTATTTATTTAATTAAAATGCAATTGAGATCCAAAGCGCTCACATTGCCATTGCCAATTTGAAATTACATTAAATGTTAGTAAATACTTACATCTATTTATGGTTAGACTATCACAATGTAATATTTTTATCTGTGTAAACACCTATGTTTCACAATAAATAATTTTGAATTTGAATTAGTAGACAAAAACAACTGTCAAAATATCTGAATTATTAGATAGCACACTGCAAAATGTCTTACGATATTTATTTATCTATCATTTTTCCGTTTCAGATAATGAAAATCTACAAAAACTGCCCTGAAAGCACCCGACCACGAATTCTAGCATTAACCTACCCTCTCTTCTCACCCCCCACCAAAGAAGAAACCCCGCAAAATGAAGACAAGGACTCCGAAAATGACACACCAACCGAAAATGACGTCAAGTCTATCGAAAATGTAGCGAAAAACGAAAATGCGGAAAAAAATCCGTGTGAAGAGATAGGTGTGAATGAAAATTTGGACGAATTTGATACTTATGAGAAGTTGGAGTGGAAAATTGAGGAGTTGGAGAAAGAGTTGTGCTGCGAAATGGATCTGGCTGAAGATATAGATGGAGGGAAAAGGTAATGTGACATTCATCATCATCATTCCAGCCATAGGACGTCCACTGCTGAACATAGGCCTCCCACAATGATTTTCACAATGACCGGTTGGTAGCGGCCTGCATCCAGCGCCTTCCTGCTACCTTTATGAGGTCGTCGGTCCACCTTGTGGGTGGACGTCCTACGCTGCTCTTTACTCCAGAACCTTGCTGTCCAATAATAATAATAATGTGACATTATTATTTCATCATTTCAGCCACAGGACATCCACTGCTGAACATAGGCCTCCCCCAATGATTTTCACAATGACCGGTTGGTAGCGGCCTGCATCCAGCGCCTTCCTTTATGAGGTTGTCGGTCCACCTTGTTTGTGGACGTCCTACGCTGCTCTTTATTCCAGAACCTTGCTGTCCAATAATAATAATAATGTGACATTATTATTTACGAGCGGCCGCCCGCGACTTCGTACGCGTGGATCTCCTTTTACCCCCCCTTCATCTATCTTACGCGGTTCAGATTTTTTCATACAAATGTTTTTTCCCGCTAACTCCCGTTCCCGTGAGAATTTTGCAATATCCTATTGTAACTAAGCTTTAAGTTTACTAAGGTACCTGCATGCCAAATTTCAAGCGCCTATCTTACGCGGTTTAGTTTTTTCATACAAATGTTTTTTCCCACTTACTCCCGTTCCCGTGGGAATTTTGCAATATCCTGTTGTAACTAAGCTTTAAGTTTACTTAGGTACCTGCATGCCAAATTTCAAGCGTCTAACTTAAGCGGTTTAGATTTTTCATAAAAAAGGATTTTCCCACTTACTCCCGTTCCCGTGGGAATTTTGCAATATCCTGTTGTAACTAAGCTTTAAGTTTACTTAGGTACCTGCATGCCAAATTTCAAGCGTCTAACTTAAGCGGTTTAGATTTTTCATAAAAAAGGATTTTCCCGCTAATTCCCGTTTCCGTGGGAATTCCTAAGTATCCTATAACCTGCCCAGGAGTATGAAGAAGAAGTATTTGGCTGTGTCAGTATCTGAAATATGGAAGTGAACTAGCGCTTAACTTCCCATACAGTCGGAGGTATGGGAGCGGCCATGGGAAGGTGTTTTTGTGACGTCAAACTTCCTTCGGATCTGTATGCCCTGTCACATCATATTATGTCAATGTCACGTCGCCCGTGCCGTTCTTATACCTCAGGCAGGCACTGACAGGCTAGACTTATAGTACCAAATCGGAGTAATGTACGCACATCCATGTCACGGTAATACTATCTATACAGTATTCCAACTCGGCCATATTTTTGAAATAAATGTCAACAGTCGCGCGGTACGTCACAGTATGACAACATGCGATAGGGCTGCCCCCCTACAGTACCCAGTTTAATTACATCTGCCTACTTACAATTTCTATCTAGTTTTGTGATTGTACTTTTTTATTTAGTTAGACAAACAAAATACTTTGTGAATGGAATAGGTTAAAAATGTGTGTTGTTTTGTGATTAGTAGATTTAATTTATTTAAAACTACGTAAATAATTTTGAAACTTTAATAATCATAATGATCTGTTACGTTAATTTCGGGCGAGCGAAGTCGTGGGCAAAAGCTGGTTTAATACAATATAATTTTCATTTCAAATCAAACTGACTGAAAATGACAAATTGACTAGTTTTTGAACAATTTGACCGTAAATGACGGTTACTCAAATTCAATCAGTTTTGTCATTTTTAACACTTGGCCACCGACGTCCATTCGGCACATTCGCGACACCCCCGACTTTTGCATACCGAGCGCATACCGAGATTTGAATTTCGAAAGAAAGTTCTCGTTTCGTCTGTTTATATGAAGTTACAATACTGTATGATATTATTACCGTGTCCATGTTCATACTTTAACTTTAACCCCCATGTAAAATTTGAGACTCCTAGCACTTGTAGTTTCAGAGATTTCGTGATGAGTGAGTGAGTCAATCAGTGACCTTTCCCTTTATAGATATAGAAGACTAGCGGCCGCCCGCGACTTCGTACGCCTGGACTTCGTTTAATTACTACGTTTCACGGTTTCCCCGCATGAATATTTACGAACGTCATATTTTTTTGTCCAGCTCTGTAGATTTTAACCAATGACGATAGATGGCGCTTTTTAGACACGTCTTATCTATTTATTGAAATTTAGTTTGTCACAGATCGTCATAAATTATCCCATCCCAACTAATATTATAAATGCGAAAGTAACTCTGTCTGTCTGTCTGTCTGTTACGCTTTCCCGCTTAAACCTCGCAACCGATTTTTATGAAATTTGGCATAGAGATAGTTTGAGTCCCGGGAAAGAACATAGGATAGTTTTTATCCCGGTTTTTGAAACAGGGACGCGCGCGATAAAGTTTTTCTGTGACAGACAAAATTCCACGCGGGCGAAGCCGCGGGCGGAAAGCTAGTAGCCTATATGTTAATCTGGGTTATAAACAATAATACTGTAAAGTTTCATCAAAATCCGTTCAGTAGTTTTTGCGTGAAAGAGTAACAAACATCCAGACATCCACACAAACTTTCGCATTTATAATATTATGTAGGATAAACTGTCAGACATGACGCTTCTATCATTAACCAAAAAGTCATAATATTTTATTGTTTTTATTGCAGACTGGCAGCCAGCTTGTCAAAGCCCAAAGAACTGGTCATCGAGTATAGCGCCGGCCCCCCGGTTTCCCTGGATCCGTCCACGCCTTTCGCTGAACTAGACGCGTTCATGAGAGGCGCTGTGAATGACGCCATGGAATTCATCATGGAGCACCGGTGAGTAGATAAAGTCCGGTCGTCAAGCGTCACATCTGAAGTCTCGCTGACGTTGGACGTCCCAAAAACACCCTCCCGTGCCGCTTCTATACCTCAGGCACTGACTTAGTTAAGTGCTATAGTCCGGTCGCCGAGCACGTACAATTTCGTCCAATGACCCCAAGCTACCCATCCTTATCGCTCGCGCGTAATTATATTGCTGTCGCGACTGTGCGACGGGCGCCCGCAGTGAGTGTGCGACTTTAGACCATCATCATCATCACCAAAGTTGTACACGATTGATGTTGTTTTGTGAGAATCGGTGAGTAAAAATGCGTAGTTCATCATCATAAGTATGGTAGATCATCATCATCATAGTCATAATCACCACAGGTGTTAGTGATTGATGACATTTGTGTGCACCGGTGAGTCGTTAGGATAAATTATCATCTTCATTATCACCACCACTATCATCAGATCATTGACTTCCATCAATATTGGGTCATCTAGTCTCAACATCATCATCATTGCGTCATCTAGTCTCATCATCAACATAATGATCATCAGGTCATTCGTCTCATCATCGCGTCATCATCATCATCATAATGATCATCAGGTCATTCGTCTCATCATCGCGTCATCATCATCATCATAATGATCATCAGGTCATTCTTCTCATCATCGCGTCATCATCATCATCATAATGATCATCAGGTCATTTTCTCATCATCGCGTCATCATCATCATCATAATGATTATCAGGTCATTTGTCTCATCATCACTTCATCATCATCATCATCATCATAATGATCATCAGGTCATTCGTCTCATCATCGCGTCATCATCATCATCATCATCACAATGATTATCAGGTTATTCATCATCATCAAGTATTTAGTCTCATCATCATCATTACCTTCATTTATTTTTTGGTGATCAGTGTTTAAGAAAATATCTCTATTTTCAGATACGACCCAACGGAGATATATGGTGAGGATATGTACGAAGAGTTCAAGAACATTCCAGACCCCACCATAGAGCCCAAGTTTATATTCAAGCAGTTTCTGTACGTTTTGGATGAACTCGGTGAGTTACCACAAAATTTTCATTGTTTTTAGACCGTAAGATAAGGGAGTAAGGTTGGAAATATGTTTTCTTTACAATAAGTATTTGAAAGAAAATAAAATCTATAAAAAAATCAAAAAAAGTCTCAGATATTTTTTGTCATTTTTTCCTTAAAATAGGTCTAGTTTCACCTTTTTTTTTATTCACAACGAGGAAGCTCTTGGCCTGTATCTCATCTAATGGTAAGTGACGATCAGGCCGAAGGTGGAAGCGAGCTTCACCCGGAATCCTCAACCACGGAGGAACTGGCTATCTTACCTCTAACTGCCGGAAAACAACAATGCTGTTAACATTTATGTGCACTATATCAAGACTCACACTGTATAGATATAATAATAGGTCTTTTTGTGTAACATGTGGGCAGTAACAACACTTTAGATTATTTAAATTTAGGGCCCTTAAAAAAACGATCGAGCGCATATTGCGTGTTTTTCTCTTTTCCAAAAAAAGAGACCTAGTGTAGGCCCTTAGGCATGTTCCACTTAGTCCTGATGATTTGCCGGAGAGCATCACTGTGAAAATTCTTGTGGGAGGCCTTTGTCCAGAAGTAAACGTCTTTTGACTGAAAAACCTAACAATATCACTTATTTTACAGGCCCATACGCAGCTGATAAAGCAGCTTTCTCTCTCCTAGCCAAACTGGAGAAACTAAAAATCAAAGTGCCCTACGAGAGACATTTCTTGCTCCTCTGCCTTTGTACTTCTGTCTTCGTCAAAATCAGAGGGTATGCTGACTACGTGTTCTCTCAATACGAGTCTGATTGGGAGAAAATCAAAATCTTTTGTACCCCAAAAGTATTGAGATTCGCTGAGATACTACTGAAGTTTCAGCCACCGGAGCTGGTCAAAAATACATCTGAGAACACAGCGAAAATGTTGAGTGACATAGAACAGTGTGATTTTGCGTCATTGGGCAACAAAATCGAAGATAAAGTGAATAGCTATGAAGCTAATTTGAAAGATCTTGAAGAAGGTTCCAGCAAATGTGACGTCACCGAAAATGAGCCTGATAGTGCGGAAAATAAGTGCGATAGTGAGGGTGTTAACTCGATAAGTGCTGGGAGTCATTGTGATGAGACTAGCTCAAATAAGTGTGATGTTCAAACCAATTCGAATAGTGCCGAAAATAAGAGTGATAGTGCCGGAAATACGGTTGATAGTGCGGTAAACAAAACTGATAGTGCGGTAAACAAGATTGATAGTGCGGGAAACAAGCCCGATAGTGCGGGAAACAAAACCGATAGTGCTGGAAACAAAACAGATAGTGGGCCAGTCGATGGTCAGAAGCCATTCTTCTCCCGTAGGTCTGGTGGTAGAGTGAGGGGCAGGGGACGGTTGCAGAGGACCAATATCAGAGTGCAGCAGATTCAGCAGAATCCTGACGCGTTATGTGGGATTGTCTTCATGAAGGAAGCGCTTATGGCGAAGATTATGTTCATGCTGATTGTGGTGAGATTTTATTAGAATTACTATTTTGTTTATTATTATTAGCACAAGACCGGTCGTTGTGGAAATCCTTGGGAGAGGCCTTTGTCCAGCAGTGGACGTCATTTGGTTGAAACAATGACTTTTTTTGTGTTTATTAATTTCACAAAAAATGCAATATGTGAGAAATAGGATCCTAGTTAATTATTAAGGAAATTATTCAGACAAGGTTTGAGCTCACTACAAATAGTTTTCTTGATGTAATCTTTTTCCTAATGGTTTAGTTATACAGTTTTATAATTATTGCATCTTGTCACACACTATACTATTGACATCTGCCTGGCTTTGTGGTAGGTTAGCTAGATGTTACCGTTTCGATCTCCACACAATGCAATTGTGTTGAGGATCGCTTTTTGTGAGCCGAGCATCTAGCGAGAGACTCTTAAGGCCATAATTTATTATAATTGAATTGCATCTAACATTTTATTGGATTTATTTAAGGAAACTTGAGTTTCTGTAAGTTTTAAGAGCGTTGTAGCAAAAAGTTGGCGTTCGAATTTTAGGTTTTTATTGCTTGACGTCGCGTAGTGAGTGCGCAAACTGCATTTATCTGTACAATTTCAACGCTGCGTCGACTAAACGATCTTAATCCGTAGTTGTATCGTACCTAAGACAGTACATCATACATAATAATAAAGAAATAATGTATAATTTACCTATTTGATTTTTTCTCAGATCAGACTTTTAGCAAAATCAAGTTACGTAATTAATGTATTTTTTACACTAGTAAATCCCGCGACAAGTTTTTAATCTTTAAATTGTGTAAAGTAATAAGTTGATGGGTTTGAAAGAATTTATGTTTTATTTTATTCCTTTTTACAGCATCAAAAGCTTGTTTATGAAAAATATTTACTATTTAAATTTTACTTTTATGGTGCGGGATGGAAAAATTAAAATTTATTCTGATTTTGTGACGTTTCCGCACATAAATATGGAAAGGTAAAATAAATAGAATGAAATGTATGAAAACGAGCGTGCCATTTTTAAACGTTATCTATAATATCTGTGTCCATCAAAGAGCTCGTAACTAAACATCGTAAGCGCCATTCAAACTATTATCTAAAAGTTAATAATAAATATTTAGTTTTTGTAAATCTAAACAAGTCAGGAAATCAAAGAGGTAAATACTGATATCATTGTGATTTTATAGAATTTATTATTATAAACAACGGTCGTATAATGCTAAAAAATCAGAGGTAACTTTAAGATTTTTATCCATAGTGCAAAATTTATCTAATCGTGTTTTTAAACAGTTATCCCATTAGGTACACATGCGTTCTGTAATACAAACCCATCAAAAACAATACTTGTCAAAAAACAAAGTCTCACTACTCAGTTGTTCTACGGTAAAAAGTTGTGAGATCCATGTACCTAATACCAAGTCCAGTCCAGGAAATCATTAACGTTTTACATAAATACAGGGTATTTGGCGCATCGTGTGCCAAAATTATTTGGCGGATAGAATGGGTCATTTCCTATATTTTCACCCCCCATAACACGTTCCATGTCAGGCGGCTACTTTCATATTAAGTTTTTTAGTAATTTCACCAAAATACCCAAATCGCATCATTTAATTTCGATTTAAAAAAAAACTACTAAGCGTAGCCTCAAAGTAAACATTTTGTTTTGACGCGCATCGATATAGGGTTGCATCAAATCTAAA